CGGGGGTAAATAAATGCACATGCTTTTAACACGATCTTTATTATTGCACAGCTAAATGGATGACAGGAGACTAATTGTGTGTAATCTCTGTAGAACTTTGTTGCGGTAGGTTAGAATTTCCAGTATAGGTCTGCTAAACAGCTCTGCAGCGTCAGTGCTGTGTATGAATGGCCATTGCTTGCGAGCTGTTCCAGTCACACTGCTGCATCATTCACGTCACGCAGAGGTAGTCAGTGGGGGGGGGGTGAGAGAACTGTATTGCTCATTTTTACCTTCCATGCATGGAACAACATCTTAATTGAACCATAAACCCAGCCTGAGGACTTGATAACAATAACCTACTACAGTAGACTACATGTTACTTAAGAATGAAGATTGATTGTGGGGCTCCCTCAGCCTGATAAGGAGCACCCACTTAGTGTTGGCCTAGCAGCCTTATGGAACATGCTGTTACGCCAAGGATCGGTAAAATTGATAATGTCAATAATAAAAAAATAGTTGCCTACACATATTGTTATAGATTAGTTGGCTTGACGCCGCTTACAGTTCCCATCTGATGACACCTCACTTCCTTAAAAGAAAATACAGACAACAGACTCTACAGGGCCAAGTCCTGCAAAACCCCAAAAAGTAAAAAATGTGAAAGTTCACTTTTACATCATCTTGTAAATTGTGTTAAACTGATCTCATGTACCACAACAGCTGTCATACAGTAGCAGAAAACACACTGCATCTTTAGCAGAAGCTCAGCATGGTGAGTAACTATGCTACCAAACTGTAATCAAAAGCCAAAAATAGTGTGTCATTGTCTGATTTTCAGCCTGCTCTGTTTTGATTTAGTCAACAGAGAAGTAAACCACATTGGTTGAAGGAATAAGTTGTGTTTTGAAACGATTTGTCCAAATAGCATTGTAAACATATATTTCTTATTAGATTTATCATTAGAGGAAAAATTATTTGTTTATTTGTTCCTTTTATTGTTTTTAACATGGTACACACTCATTAAAATAGTGTTTTCATGAGCATTGATGATCTGTTGCTGATCCCTTGGATATAGTCCTTTTTTTTTGGTAAAGATGAGTTGGAGGATAGGGATGATGTTTTATGTTTGAAAGAGCACTATGCTGGGGAGAAATATAAGGAGAAAAAATGCTTGTATTGTTTTTGTTTTTTAGGTGTTAATTATTCACAAACTAATAAATGTACTTTCTTTTCAGACTGATTACTCTAACCCTAACCCAAAATGGATCAATTAATTGATTATGGAAATTGTTAAATGTAGCCCTAGTATCTAAACATCTGTGTAGTTTGCTACAGGACAAAATCCTTAAGTTGTGCAAGACTCTAAGTTTGGGTAAATTTAGCTTTCTTGCCTGCTTATGTATGTCTGTATGTATGTATTAATCAGTCATTCAGTCAATCAGAATCCTTTTACCCATGTTGCTGTTTTTCTAGTTTAGTGATTTATTTTATTTATATACCCCCCCACACACACACCTTGGTGTTGTGCCATACAGCACTACTCTGTTCAATTATTCAGCTCAGATAATCTGTGATCTTTGACCACTCTGTGATCATGGGCACACAGGGATTATGTTTTATGCATTTATGTCAAATATCCACTTATCCACTGCTAACAGATGTCCTTGCACAAACATACCAACTGGTGATCAATTCCTTGTCATCATTTAACACAAAACAGTTTTGTGGACACTGTTCTTTGAAACAACAGCTACTTATTTTCATAGTTTCAAGTTGCTTAAGGCACTCTTTTACAGTTCAACAGAGTCCATAGCATTGTGTAGAAGTTCTGTCATCTTGTTTAAACTCGCATGTAGTTACTAACAGATATGGTGCAACATGTAATCACAGTTGTGAATATGGGTTTCAGCAGATACCCTAAATTTAAGAACGATAAATAATCATGATGAAATTGAAACTACCGTATAGTGCAGAGGTGTCCAATCTCATCTGCAAAGGGCCGGTGTGGCTGCAGGTTTTCATTCTTGTCAAGCAGCAGCACACCTGATTCCACTTGTTTTAATCTGTTAGTCTGTCTTCAAATGGCTGTTCAGGTGTGCTCCTGCTTTGTTGGAATGAAAAGCTGCAGCCACTCTGGCCCTTTGCAGATAAGATTGCACACCCCAGAGTAGACCCAGAGACGTTATTTGTCCGTTGCATAGACTATTGGTTGTTAATCTAGCTGTTGATGTCACCAGGTGGGTGCATTATGTTCTTTCAGATGAATGACAGTGAATACAAAGGGGCTCAAAAAAAACCCCACCACAATACGTAACTCTATCTTTTGCCAACTAATGAAGACAGTGATATGTTGCGTTAAATTATTTGAGCCAGGGGTGAAGGGATGGCTAATTTGTGGGAAAGGGTAGCGTACAGTAATCAGCTGCTTCTTGTGTAAATGTTTTATTGGCTTGAAGTCTGCCGAGAGATCAGATGTGTGTGTGAACAGTCATATAGAGCAGTGCCCATTGCACCGTGAGTTTATATGACATCCATAAATTTGTAAAATGAGCTGGCGGCTGAGGAAGGTCCTTCACAGAAAGGACACTACTGATGTGTGTTTGTCCACCCACACAGTGACGAGGCCTTCACTGTCCACTGGAGCATTTCCTCGTAGTCAGCATTGTCATGGTACAGTGAGAAATACAGACGATTCTTCACTGTCCTGTGACACTCAGTCATGCACATGTGTTCTTCCTAATGTCTGCATTTTTTTATTTATTACACAGACTAGTAACAAGGCCTCAATTATTACGTAATCGCCCATTGCCCATTTATTTAAACTGACCAGTTGTTTTACAGTGAGTGTAAATTTGGTGCATTTTCATCTGTTAAGTTGAGGCAAATAAATGAATGAAAGGATATTTTCACACATTGTTTCAGACTTTGGCAAATGGAAAGTTTTTTTGTGACATTGTATTTTTTTCATTTGGTTCAGTTGGTTTCACACTGCAATGGCTAAAGTGCACCAAATTACATGTGTTTGCTAATTTCTTAGTTTATTTATTGGAGGTTTTGCAGGGATTCAATTTTTGTTGCTCTCACATTTGCTACCTTTTTGAGAAAAAAAAAAATGTACTTTGAAAGAAAACAACTATATCACAGTCAAAGCAATAACAAGCCTTGCTCGATAGCTGGTTCTTTATTATTAGTTTGTCAATTTCAATGTAACCAATCAGGTAACTGATACAAGATGTTTCACGATCTATGTGCCAAAATCAAAGGCATTGCTTTGCTGTTATTTTATTACTTGTCTGCAGTTGGCAGTAGTTTGTGCTACATAGCTTTATGAGCTTCTGATGAAATTGGCAGATTATGTGGACAGTACAGCACTGATGTGCTGCTAGAAGAAACGGAAAAAACGTGCTGATGCTGATTTCTCTCGTTCAGTGAAGTTAATCACAAAAATGAACTGAACCAGGGTTTCTTTGGAAGTGGACAGGACCCAACTTTGGCCACTGTAGGCTTTTACAGTAATAGTTGAATACAATGGAAAAAAAAATCTATAAGCAGTGTGGTTACTTCTGTGGTTATCGTGATCAGTAACCAATCAATCTATACTTTATATGTGCACACAATGTGCCAAAAATACCTTGTAAATACCTATTGTAATTATATTATTAATTGTAATATGTGTTTTGTAATTATCTCACTGCTTTTGTATCATGTTGTTTTATGTTTAATATGTTTTGTTTCTGTAAAACAGTAGAAATGTCCTCATACTTGTGACCAGCAGTGTCACGGCTTGACAAAACAGATCTCTTATTTTCAGTCTATTGTTTGATTACTGTTAATCTGTGTTGTCTGTTTCACTTGTGCTGGGACACAGTTAATAAGCAACTTTGCACAGTTGTTTCACAGTCGTTAACCTTATGATTAATTGGTATCGGGGAAACTCGGTCCTGATAATTTCTTTTTAGCATGTTCTTTCATTTCTTAGTGTACACCATTTATTTTTGATAAGTAAAGTTTCGCTGTACTGACCACACCTAATCTCACACCTGCCTAACACATGCTGGCACAAATCTTCTTTGTGGTCTGCACTGGCACTACTCAGTACAGTGAATTTAAACGATCTAAAAGCACTGTTTGACCAAATGTTCAATGACCTTTGATATTTTCCCTTTACGTGCTGCCAAGGGAAAAAACAGGAAAGGCCTCTTAGGCTGATAGCTTAAGTCTTAAGATATTCAGGGAGGGTTGCGGTAAAGAAATACAGACTGAGAGGGATGGTTCATTCTGTTCAGATGGGGTGCTGGGGTAGCCCTGAGGTCACTCTTGTGGGCTTCTAGGTGAATATGCCAACCTCTCCCAACAGTCTGAGGAAAGCAGCTTGCCTGGACATACTCCCTTAATGCCTGCACATATACAGAGAACACCATTTATATAACTAAACCATGAATTTCTCTTGTTTAGGCTAGGGCTGAGTATTATAACTTCACAGTACATTTATTTCAGCATAATTCTCATTGAAATGTAAACTGTCAGAATGGTTTGATGTGAAATGGTTAATTGTAGAGAAACAATGATTCTGATTTCTTAACAGTAGTGATGATAGGAACCAGGGTTCATGCGTCAGAGGCCTGCAGCACAAATGTAGCCATTTTATTTACTATCCAAAACCACCAGTGAGTCTACCCAAGTTTTATATGTAATGTTGATGATGGGAAAATAAAATGCTGGATGCTTTAAATATATTGCACTTTCAGATCTGAATAATTATCGGTTCCACTCGTGCATACACATGCCGTGTGGAAGTACATTCATGAATATTGATAGTCATCACTGTATCAATATGCATATCGCCACAATCTTATCCATGGTATATTGCCATATCTATATTTTGAACACAGCCCTAGCATGGGCCATGTTTTTACTTTAATGTTTATATACACAGTAGTGAAGTTTTCAGACATGTCATGACTAGAAAGCAGTGAGTGTTTAATTTAATGATGGATGACTTTCTGATTTTCTTTCAGTATTATGTGCCAAGAACCTAGCAAAGAAAGACTTCTTCCGTAAGTACTCATGCTTTCTTTCTCGTTTTGTTGTGTCTGTTCCACATAGTCCAATGTTTGCCACAGCTTTGTAGATGTTTGTTTTTCCTCTCAGATGCTCAGCAACAAAGTGTAGCTGAACGTTTGCGTTTCAACCCGAAGAGCCTCTTGCACACAGGCTTTTTTGACTGTATCGCATTTATTATCCCAGAATCTCCAAATGATGGGGAGCTTTCAGAACCACCCACGATTGGCTTCTTTATTCCATCAGCTGGGGAATTCACCTCCTCTTTCACTAGCTCCAAATCACATTCCACCCACAGATATTTGGACACGCAGCACTGGGCTTGAAACTTGCTGTACAGTCAGGGCTACACAGAGTAACAAGGCTGCTGTGAGTGACAGACATGACTGTCTGTCCCACTGCCCTGAACCATTCATGGCCCACATATTATGCTAATGACAGAAGTGTGAATGCGTCATATTCAGCCCACATCCATAGGGCTGGCTTTTCAAACCATTGCACTGAGCTCTGGCGTGACAGCGGCTAATCATTGATGGACTATGTGTAAAAGAGAGAGACGAAGTGTGACTACAGCAATGACAAATCTAAGAGTTCTATGCAGCGACTGTTTCTCAGCTCAGAGTTATTCCCTAAGAGGCAAGCTGAGTATTTTCCCAGCTCATAATTTATGCTTCTTTTGTATTCTCGCTGCACATCTGTATTAATTGGAGAGCTCTTGAGCACTTGACCTCTCTTGCTATGTATTCAGGGCATGAGGATTGCCTTATGAATGAGTGCAGTTCATGAATCAAGCTCTAAATCCAAGTCATAAAATGATGCAAAAGGCCCCAGGTGAATTTTCACGCAGTGACTTTGGAAAAGGGTGTGAGGGCGTTTCCTATTCTGCCGTGCTCCACTGCAATAGATTGCAATAGATAGTGGTTCTTTCGTCCTCAGATTTAATCCTTCCGCAACACTGGTTTCTCTTGCAGGGTTGCCTGACCCTTTTGCCAAAGTTGTTGTTGACGGCTCGGGTCAATGCCACTCCACAGACACAGTCAAGAGCACATTGGACCCCAAGTGGAACCAGCATTATGACTTGTAAGCATATTCCTGGCTTAAGTTTAAAATTTGCACTTGCAGTATCATTTTTTAAATCATCTTTCATCTAACCTGTTACAGTTGCCCTCGAGATTGTCCACTGTACAACACAAGACATACAATCACAGGAGTTGAAACTTTTAACTGTGCATTATATACAGCCACTCACATAGCTGTAACAAAATGCTGCATTTTTTAAAAGGGGGGAATTTTTTTCTTTGGGGTCAAATTAGAGCAAAGAAGCAAATGTGATTAATTGCGATTAACTACACAAAAAATCATCACAATTAATTATTCTGAACAGCCTTAATTATTATATTAAGAATTTTCTTCATTTGTGTGATTTTTAGATATATTGGGAAGACCGATTCCATCACTATTAGTGTGTGGAACCATAAGAAGATCCATAAGAAACAGGGGGCTGGCTTTCTAGGCTGTGTGAGGCTCCTGTCCAACGCCATCAGCAGACTCAAGGATACAGGCTGTGAGTGGTCTTCACACGACTCATATTTAGTAGTGCAGTAAAAGGGCCGCAATGAAGAAATATTAATCATTTGTCTTTCTAAATAACTTGAATGTTTTGAGGACTGACCTTTTGGATGTCTGTCATCTCAACAGACCAGCGTTTGGACTTATGCAAGCTGAACGCCTCCGACAGCGATGCTGTGCGAGGGCAGATAGTTGGTACGTAGCAATGAAACGTGGAACTGTCTTGGGGAATACCACCTTGCCTTCTGAAACACCATAAAGTCATAAATTGTCTCTCGACTAAATATCCTTTGCAATGTTCTGTTTTTAGTGAGCCTCCAGACCAGAGACAGGATTGGCAGTGGTGGGCCTGTGGTAGACTGTAGAGGACTTTTAGAAAATGAAGGGTGAGTGGGAGCTCTGCAGCAGAACGGTCCTTTTTTCTTCTGATGGATACACTTGATCAGCACTGCCCCCTGCTGGAAGGATTAGATTTATCTTCACTCACAAATCATATACTGACGGAGAGCCATGGTTTTTGGAGTATTTACACTTCACTGCTTATGTGTGCTTTTCAGGCCGGTCTTTGAGGACTCTGGACCTGGACGGCCTCTCAGCTGTTTCATGGAGGAGCCTCTGCCTTACACAGACCCCACGGGGGCTGCTGGGGGAGGTAGCTGCCGTGCACTGGAGTCGCCCAATCAGGAACAGAGGCTCCAAGCACAACGAATTAGAAACCAGGAGTCTAGAAGTCATGCACACACCCCACAGAACCGGCCGCATGGGCATCAGTCACCTGACCTGCCTGAGGGCTATGGTAAATGAGTCCTGAGTTTGTGCTCCTTACTTCGAAGAAGTTTTGTGTTCTTTTATCTTCCACCAGTGTAATTAAACTGGCTCCAGCTGCCTGTGCCACTGTGAGCTTGTTGAGAGGCGGCTGAGGTGAGGTGACTGAAGTGTGGATAGGCCAAACACATTCACCCTGCTGCCCTGCTTAAATTGCGTTGACCGTACAGGCACCATTAAGATTCTCGGGAGAGTAGCTAACAGCTGACCCCTCTGATGTGGCAGCATGACCCTTGTGCTGTGATCAGTGAACACAGAAGCTGTAATTAAGCCTCAGGCTGGGCACAAAGTATGACCTCTGTTAGCCTGGGCCTCAAGAGAACTGGCCCATCTATGATTTGCTGTCTTAACAGCCTGGGGATCATCTGCTCTCTTCTGTGCCCCTTTACAGAGCAGAGGACCACCGTGCAGGGCCAGGTTTATTTTCTACACACACAGACTGGCGTGAGCACTTGGCATGATCCCAGAATACCACGGTAGGTTTAAACCCCTCATGACCTTTTTCACTAAAGTAATCAGCCCATTTCTTCTCATTCAAACTTACAAGTTCATTATTGACCAACTAACATGATAATCAGTATTCTAACATGATGACCAGTGTTGTGTTGCACTCATTAATAAAACACTATAGGAATATCTGAACACAAAAGATACTAAGAAAAGACATGAAACGGTCAGGAAAAAACAAAATTGGAAAGTAAGGGGTCTAGTCCTATGCATATCTGTTGGTGTAAAACGGCATGGTGATCAGTCCCCTTGCCCCTGCAGGGATCTGAACAGTGTGAGCTGTGAGGAGCTGGGCCCTCTGCCGCCTGGCTGGGAGATCAGGAGCACAGTATCAGGAAGGATTTATTTTGTCGACCACAATAACAGAACCACACAATTCACAGACCCCAGATTACACCACATCATGAGGTAAACACACCACACAGGATTTACACTCGCGTGTTTTGTCTTTGTGCCTCTGCTCATAACACCTGATTACTGACCCCTTTTAATGATCCCTCATTAAATTATGTTTATAATTTGTTACAATCAGCACTCTCCCCTGAATAATTTGAGACCCAAATTAAGATAATGGCTTGCTCATGTTTGGGTTTGTTCATTTTGATTTACATTGTAGCAGTTCATTTTCATTGAGCTGTAGAAGTGAAAATTAACCCAGACGATATGTTAGACGTTCAAAATGTATTATTGATGTGCAGACTAACCAGTAATATGTGTTTGTATAACAGCCAGCACTCTCAGGTGAAGGAGTCAAGCCAGGCTCTGCCGGTGCAGATGGAAGTTCCCGTAGAAGAAGGTGAGGGAGAGTTGCCTGTGCGTTATGAGAGAGATCTGGTCCAAAAGCTCAAGGTGCTGCGCCACGAGCTCTCCCTGCAGCAGCCTCAGGCTGGGCATTGCCGCATAGAGGTATCACGAGAGGAGATCTTTGAGGTACAACATCGTTTTCTACATCACCACTAACTGAAGTCTACAGACGTTTACTTGGATTGCAACATTTTGGAGCTGCTTTGATTTCAATGTTTGTTTTGGTTGCCGGTTGATGTCACTTAAGTACATGCAATGTCCTGTGTGTCTCACAGGAGTCGTACAGGCAGATCATGAAGATGAGGCCCAAGGACCTGAAGAAGCGGCTGATGGTTAAATTCCGTGGAGAAGAGGGCTTGGATTACGGAGGAGTAGCAAGGTGAGACCCTGGATGGATCTCATATCTTTAATTGTGTCATAGTTTCCTTTCCTTGCATCGTTTCCTCATGTCTCAGCTTCTTAATCTGAGAACGTGAGGAAGAGATGCCAAATGTGTTTGACAAATGAGATTGTAACTTTCATCAGCTTTTACTGGGCTTGAAGAATCTGCAGATAATAACTCTAAAATCCTATTATCAACTGACTTTTCACATCAGTGTGCTTTATTTAAATTCAGATACATCAACAATTTAATTGACTAATGCATGTGTTTCCTCGCTCTGAAATGCCTTCTCTTTCTTCAAATCCTCCAGGCGCATTTAAAGAATTGGTATGTCCTTAAAGATGCCAGATTTCATTTGATTGCCAGGTCATGGGCTGAAGGACAGAGGAGGGAGGAATTGAGAAGACATCAATTAGAGTTTTGCGATCTAGCTTTAGTCTTGGCTTCCTCTTCTTCTTTTCCCTGCTTAATAGCTTCCCCTCAGGTTTCCTCCTTCAGACCCGTCAAACTAAATGAATTAAACAGTTTGGTTGTATCTTAGCCAAGCCTATCAAAGAAAAAGATAGAACATCCACAATGTTGCAGGTGCTCTGACATCTGTTCCCAGATGTGACAGGAGGGTTAGATTAATGAACTGTTGCATTGATCCCCAAATGCATTTGTAAGTGGTGTAACTTCTGTGTTTGAAATCTTGCTTCCCAGGGAGTGGCTGTACCTTCTTTGTCATGAGATGCTGAATCCATACTATGGCTTATTCCAGTACTCCACAGACAACATCTACACGCTGCAGATCAACCCAGACTCATCAATCAACCCTGTGAGTTACGTAACCTCCTTTGGCAGAGTTGTTATCCTGAACGTCACTGCCTCTTTGCAAATCACTCTTGTTTAGAAAAGGTTAAACAAATAAAGGGTCAACTCTGGTATTTCCAGCATTTGGAAGTCATGTGTCTCAGGCGGGTGACTGCAAGTCTGGTAAGACTGGGCCCTGTGCTAAGCCTTATGCTATGTTTTAGGACCACTTGTCTTACTTCCACTTTGTGGGACGGATCATGGGCCTGGCAGTGTTCCATGGGCACTACATTAATGGAGGTTTCACGCTGCCCTTCTACAAGCAGCTCTTGGGGAAGCCCATTCAACTGTCCGACCTGGAGACTGTGGACCCTGAGCTTCACAAAAGCCTCGTCTGGATCCTGTGAGTGACCTAGGATCATGTTGGTCTCTAACCATTTATTCATTTATTTAAATTTATTTATTTACACGTGTATTTGTTATTCAGAAAAAAACACCTTACACTATACGGTGTTATGTCATCATACTGTACATTTGGTGGCTCTGTTTTGAATAGAGTGTTTGTTAGATGCTTATTGGATGAGAGCATAGACTAGTTTGCAGCGTGTGTGAGGAATTAAAACCTGAATGACTTTGTTCTCAGGCTTTAAAGAAATACCTCAATGCCTATTTTTCTTTTATTATACAGAGAGAATGACATCACGTCTGTTCTGGATCATACGTTCTGCGTAGAACACAATGCTTTTGGCAAATTCCTGCAGCATGAACTGAAGCCCAATGGCAGAAACATCCCTGTCACCGAGGAGAATAAGAAAGAATATGTGAGGTATGGCAGAGATGCACCCATTGTGATCTAAGCTGCAGCTATAATTCTGCTCGTGTCTGTCTGTCTGAAGCATATCTACCAGCAGAGGGCAGCACTATGGGGGAGTTTGGCAGAGTATTCATGCTTTTTCCACTGTCAGCATGATTGAGTAATCCTGGACTTATAAGCTCCTGATAGGGTCTTTATTTGTAGGTGAGCAAATGCCAGATGTGAGCAATCTGTAAACTGTTCAAGGGCCTGGATTTACGGTTTGACTGTCTTTCTGCAGTGTTCTCATGATTTTCCAATGTTTTCTTTAGACTCTATGTGAACTGGAGGTTCATGCGGGGTATTGAGGCCCAGTTCCTTGCTCTGCAGAAAGGGTTCAATGAGCTCATCCCACAACACCTGCTCAAGCCTTTTGACAACAAGGAACTTGAGGTACAGAGTTACTTAAACACTGAAATAACGGTCTCTAATACTGGAATCTTTGACTTATTTTCACTTTTTCTGGCTGTAATAATTAGTATACTGTAGAGTTGGTCAGTCTTCAGCATGTTTCAGTTAATGCCTTGTGTGTGCCTTTTGCAGCTGATCATTGGAGGCCTAGGAAAGATCGATCTGAATGACTGGAAGGCAAACACGCGGCTGAAGCACTGCGTGGCTGACAGTAACATAGTGAAGTGGTTCTGGCAGGCCGTGGAGTCATTTGATGAGGAGAGAAGAGGAAGGTTGCTCCAGTTCGTCACCGGTTCAACACGTGTCCCTCTGCAAGGCTTCAAAGCACTGCAAGGTGGCTAAGAGATGAGCCATGCACACCCCTCACGCACCTAGTTATACCATTTCTTAACCCTTTACATGGCCCAAAGTTTTATGACATACTCCTAAAACCTAAGAATAGCTCAGCCAGTTTTTATTGACGTCCCTGTAGTTACTGAATAAAAAGTTTTGGTATGTAATAAGCCTGGAATTTGAAGGGGTTAAAGCACTAGACATGAAGTTCCTTTACATGAATTATGTGTAGATAATGACATTTTTTTTATATATCTATAAAACACACCATCTAGCAACTCCTGATATGAGCCAGTTTAAGATGCTTTTGTATTTATCAGTCTCTTTGAACATGAAAAGTGTCAAGTGGCATTTTCAGAAGCCCAAATGAATCAATATTGAAATCATGCTAAGTGTGGCTTTAAGGAACCCTTTATGACTTCCCTACACCACATTCTTTTATTAGATCTTTTATAAGACTTATTGATTTATTGGTTCTGTTGACAAATCGTCTTTTGTTTATTTTGAATAAAGTACTTTGCTCAGTTCATACAACATATTTTAGTGATATTGAACTTGTGAGCCTCAGAATGGTGTACATGTCTTTAACAGTCAGCGTTCCCTTTAGAATGAAAAATGATTCTTGAAGCTTAGTGGTACTTTACCTGTAATGAGACTGGGAACAGTGATAACTAGAATGTATCTTTGTAAGGTTCTACAGGTTCTGCAGGACCAAGACTCTTCACTATCCATTTGATCGATGCCAACACGGATAATTTGCCTAAAGCCCATACATGGTGAGTTAGCCAAATGATGGTGCTATTTATGCAGGTTGATAATAATTAAACATAGCATTTGAAGATGGGGTTGTTTTTGTAAATGTTCCAATTCTTCTTTCTCTCCAGCTTCAACCGCATCGACATCCCGCCTTATGAGTCTTACGAGAAGCTCTATGAGAAGCTCCTGACTGCCGTGGAGGAGACGTGTGGGTTTGCTGTGGAGTGAAATGCCTCGTCCAGCTCGCCAGCCAGCCAGCATTGACTAACCCACCTAACAGCCCCTTCTAGACCTCTCATTCTCCCCTACTCTCCCCCGGGGTTGACAGACTGGTGCCTCCCTGCAGGCTTGAGCGTCACCCGCCAGCCCCTCTCTCAGGAGCACAGAGAGGGGAGCCACTACCCAGGGGCAGGAACTTGCACACATGCACAGCCTGGGTTACTCCCACACAACCTTCAGGCTACTCTAGGTCTATTTATTCTTGGTTCTTGTTGTGAAACGCAAGTTTTTATTTGCATTATTATAATCACAGGTACCAGAAAAAAGAGAGATCAGATCAATGTCCTTTTTTGTCATCTCTCTAAAATCCAGCCTTTTTTTGGTCACTGAAACTGTGGAACATAGTCTTAAGTCTGATTAATTTGAATTTGTACCGCTTAGTTGCAATAATGTGATCCTCTCTGAGCCTGTGGTCTGAAGTAGAGGTCATATTTTAATTGTGGTGAAGATCTTAACCTTTACAGGAGACTCTAAAGGCAAAACCCAGTCTACCTAATATGTTTGTTTAAGGAACACATGGACTGGTTGTTTCATAAGTTGAAATGAATGATATCTACACACAGCATCCCTCACCCTTTTCTGTCCGAGTTCTATTATAGGATGACATTGTACATTTCAGTGGTATCCATTTCTTATGTTTTGTCATTTGTATTAGACATTTTAACTTGATTGCTTGTTGCTTGAAAGGTATTAATGAAAAGTTTTTCCCATCCATACGATCAAGGCCACAAAAGCTTGGCAAGTCTTAGACCTTTTTGGGACCGTTTAATGAAATGGCTACACAGCGCAAGTGTGCGTGTCTCTACTTTCTCTAACAGAAGCACATCTGTTACGGCTCACAGACCACGTACAGGCTAAAGAGGGACAGAAAGCCCTTGGAAATTCCGATGTCAGCATTATCCAGAATAAGCCAGTATTCTCAATGACATGTTTTAATCTTTTAAACTTCTAATCTTTTTGCATGTTGCACAAATTTTTTTTTCTTCTTTTTAGTGTTTTTATTTTGCTGACCTTTTTGTCTGAACAACAAATGGCTCCCTTTGAGAGGTGGTTTTGAGTGATGCCATGTATCAAGTAGTCCATCAGGTTCTAAAAACACACTTTTTTCATCAGTTTCCATCAGTTTCCTTTTACCAGATTTATCCCGCAGATCTAAAGCAGACTACTAGCCGTAGTGCATATTCCATTGCATGGGAGATTTATGAAAAATATGTTTTTTGGAATCATGAATGTTTCTAAGAAGCTCTTATTGTCCTCAAGTTTAATTGGACAATGCTGATTTGTTTTTATTTGTTGACTTAGCATTAACTGTTTGTACCACGTGTACCGCCTGCATTTGTACATGAGTGCTTTCACTCACATTCACCGCAAGACTGTTATTCATGTGTCTCTGTCACTGAAACCACTTTTTTAAAACTAACATTTTTTCTATGGCACTTTCACTAGCACATACAGTAAAGTCATCCCTCATTTTCATTCCGAGCAGCGTGACTTGTTCTCCCCTGTAGGAAATTAAAAAGCTAAAGACTTGGACGGCAGTGCTTTAAATCCCTGTTCAGCTGGGGTGATCCTCTCCGTTTTACGTCTCTTCTCTAGTGTTTGGCTTCAGGCACGTTACGTTTAGGTCTTGGCATACGGATTTAACAGAGCAGTGAGGTGTCTAGGATTTCATTATGTAGTGCTTGATGTGCATGGCACCAGATTATTATTCGTAAAATTGACAAAAAATGAGCCAATTTTTAGTTTTAAGTGTTCTGCAACCACTTGATCCTAAACTAATTATTTATTACTATGTAATGTCCTTTTAAGTATTGCTGCTATTATCATTATTCCCTGTTTTTCAGAAAAGGCCAATTTTCTTGTGAAAGCTGTACACTACTCTCTTTTTATTTTATGTATGAATCAAAGTATTTAAACCTGCTGCTAATTCAAAGAAGCCTGTCCCTTGGCCTGGATTGAGTTAGCTTTGATGTAGGCTGGACCCCGGTGGTCATGTTCATATTTGTGATATATGCAATAAAATCTGACACCTTTATACTCTTGGTTCTGTCTTAACATGTCTTTATTTCTTACATGTAACAGATTGGACAGAGCTTAATTCTGACAGCGTTTGTGTGAACCGAGTCCTTTGTTTTTCCAGATGACTAGAGTGGTGATCTGTTATTAAACTCGGATAAACACAAAAGAGCTGGACATTTAATGTTGTGTAATAGTGGGAATGACTAGTGAGTTTGAGGATGAGTATGGACTTTGCCTGCAAGTTACATTTGTTTTTAAAAACAACTTTTCCAAATGATGTGACCAGTATCATTACTATGTACAATTATAAGGTCCTGAGTGTCATTGTTTATTGGATGCAAGAATAATGTAACTTACAATGTACTAAACATTTCTGAAAAGATTCCATGTAAATAAGATTATATTAAAGAAACTAAATTGAAAATACTTCTGCTCTCCGTCTCTCCTTCTGACCTATATCTCTCTACTGAGAGAATTGTGTTTATCATACAACAGTGATTTTTATATATATATATATATATATATCACACACACAGCCCCATCAGGCATAACATTACGACCACCTCCTTGTTTGCTACGCTCATTGTCCATTTTATCAGCTCCACTTACTATATAGGTGCACTTTGTAGTTCTACAATTACAGACTGTAGTCCATCTGTTTCTCTGCATACTTTGTTAGCCCCCTTTTACCCTGTTCTTCAGTGGTCAGGATGCCCGTGGACCCCCATGGACCCTCACAGAGCAGCTACAATTTGGGTGGTGGATCATTCTTGGCACTGCAGTAACACTGACGTGGTGGTAGTGTGTTAGTGTGTGTTGTGCTGGTACGAGTGGATCAGATACAGCAGTACCACCCAAATTGTACCTGCTCTCAGAAACAAGGAGGTGGTCATAACGTTATGCCTGATCTATATATATATATATATATATATATATATATATATATATATATATATATATATATATATATGCACACACACACACACACAGTATGTAAGGAAAGGTTGCAGGGCTTTAACTACTGAACTGAGAGAAAGTAGTTGGACTGCACTGGGACATTATGTATTACGTGAGCTACAAGCAATAATTGAATGAAAAAAAAAAGTCCTGCATATTACATCCACACTTCATTCAACCTCTGAATGTCTGTTTCTTGATTGTCAGACATGGGCGTCAGTAACATTATTTAACTCTCAATTTATTATAATTAAATAATACTTGTTACCATTATCAAAATCTGATATAATATTCAAAACTTATTTCATAGTCCATTGAAGTCGATGGTCCAGTTATCACAAAACGTAAGTAGTCAAAACATTTGAGAAAACATTGTCTTGGAATGATATGCCATTACTTTCACCATCATTTCAGAATTCAGAATATTTTGGCTATAGTCTCAAAAGTCCAAAGCCATTTTGGTGCCAAGAGTATCTCTTATGAGTCATTTACAAAAGTAAATAAAATTCTTTCTTAGTATTTTTTTTTTTAAATCTCTCAAACACACAAGGACATTTTGCCACTGTTCTGTGAGTGTGTAGGCCATAATATTCGTGGCTTTCAAGCAGAAACTTGTCATTTTTCACAGGAGAACAATAACTAATGGTCTGAATCCTTTAAAGGTGCAGTGTGTAAGATTTAGGAGGATCTATTAGCAGAAAAGGAATATAGTATACAAACCTATGTTTTCATTAGTGTATAATACACCTGTAATTATGAATTGATGTGTTTTTTTTTAGTTTAGAATGATTCCTTCATATCTACATAGGGAGCAGGTCCTCTTCCAACAGGGGCCGCCATGTTGCGCTGCCATGTTTCTACAGTAGCCCAGTATGGACAAACCAAACACTGGCTCTAGGGGTGCACTTCCTATAGCTTGTAGTGGGTCCTGGGGGGGCTGGGGTCCAGCACAGTTTGGTGATTTACCAGCTCAAACATTCCTGATTACACTCATCTGTTATTTGCCAGGTTTAGTAGGTGTGTTTAAGAAGGGACACTACCAAATTGTGCTGGACACTCTCCCTCCAGGACCGGAGTTGTGCACCCCTGCTCTAGAGAGTGTCTTTTGTGTTTTTACATTGAAGCGGCAGCTTGAATTTGGTGCCATTACAGCACCAGCTAGAAGATGAGTGCTGTGAAAAAGTATTTGCCCCTTTCGAATTTCTTCTATTTTTGCATATTTGTCACGCTTTAATGTTTCTTTTAATGTTAGACAAAGGTAACAAGTAAACACAAAATGCTGTTTTAAATGATGATTTCAATTACTGAAGGGAAAATGCTCTTCTGCCCTAACTGGCCCCATGTGAAAAAGTAAATGACCCCTTAGCTACTAAATCATCATCATCATCATCGTCATTAACCGCTTAGTCCAGCTAGGGTCGCGGTGCTACTAAATCAACCAAATTTAATTGACTTTTGTGTTCAGCTTCACTAGGTACCCCCAGGCATGATTATTGCCAGACCTGTTGAATCTGAACATCACTTAAATAGAACCTGTCTGGCAATGTGAAGCAGGCTAGAAGGTTTAGAAACATTTAAATATGACACACTAGCAAAAATAGAAGAAATTGAGTGGGGGCAAATACTTTTCCACAGCACTGTAGAAAGAAGAAGAATCAGTTGTTGCTGCTATTGCTGGCTAACCATTTTGTGTTGTGAGAGGTTTGAGAACCCAAATTTTGACAAATGGAGGAGCGTACTTATTATTTAGCACAAGAAAAAGTAAAGGAGGATGAAAGAAGCGAAAACCTGATGGCCACTGTAGCTTCCACTACACGCTTAGAAAGGGAGAGGTGAAGGAGGGGTATTCAATTGGTTGCAATCTGCAAGACTGACACTAAATCTTACACACTGCACCTTTTAGGAAATGATCATGTCATGAAATGAAATTTAGTGTGAGTTATCGCATTTTCACTAGTGTTCAAAATGTAGAATCAGTTGAAGTATTTGGAAGTACTGTTTTCAATAAAATAAATAATGTTGCATATAAATATATGAAATAATTCTATTATGGTTATCCAACTTCACAACTTTGGACTTTTACAGATTTTGACTTATTAGTCAGGAGCTGTAGAGTCCAGAGTTTATTTAATTAATTAGAGTTAATTAAGAAAGCTGTAAAACTTTGATAATGAAGTTATAATAAAATTAACATTAAGAGTTTCTGTATTTGAAGTGATCAAATGTCGATGGCAAGGAATAGCTATAATTAATAAGAGCGTTGTGATGTTGGCAAAAAAGAGACCAGGAAGCGTATTGGAAAACGTGCAATGCTCTTTATTTAGCAGCCAGCTCACTCTTGCAGCACTGTAGTAATCTGCATGGACGAGGAGGTCGCAAAGGTACTGCTAATCTACTGTGCTCTACACATTTGGATTCAAATGCCACCTTCGTCGATATAGATTTCTTTTGGGCAGTAGAATGTAGTGGGTAACATCTCGCAGCAACGCTGCTGGTACCACCATCTGTTCTCGTGCATGCGCAGACTGAGAAATCCAAACAAAATCAGAGTACGAGTATAGATGCACTGAAATGCGATTACTGAGCTAAAATCCAGCGGATTTCTCGTTTGGAGTATGGTGTTTACATGACGATTTGAATAATCACTAACTGCAAAAATCCGATTATAATCGGATTATTGAGTGCATGTGAATGCACTCAATGTGGAGAAGCAGGCATGCATCTAGCTTGGTGATGCCATTGGGAAGGTAATAATCTACACAGAACTGCTAGCTACTATTAGCTGGTGCTGTCCAATGACAGCCAGCCAGCTCAGTAACCCCAGTTGCTACCATTTGCCTTACTTTTTGCTCCACTATCTACCAATTTGCCAGGTAGAGATGATGAGGGTAGGTAAATAAAATGCATCAGCATGCATCCTAAAAGAGAGATCATGTCACTACTATTTTGAAAGAACTGCACTGGCTATCTGTATTGTTCAGAATCATTTAAAGTTCTGCTACTAGTTTTTAAGACTCTAAATGACCTAGCGCCTGCTTACATCACAGAGTGTCTATCTGTTTATGTTCCAGCACATGATCTTAGATCTGCAGATACGGACCTTCTGCAAATACCTTCTGTAAAATACAGAAAACATGGAGAGGCCTCGTTCAATTATTATGCTTCTAAACTGTGGAACTCAATTCCACCTGTTATTAGACAGTCAAGCTCAGTGCTCACTTTTAAAAAGCATCTAAAAACATATCTCTTTAACCTAGCATTAAATTAAAACTCTACACCTCTTGGTATTTATCTTTTAATTTGATGTGTCATTTTCTTATATGATTCTAAATTAATACTGTAAAGCACTTTGAGCTGCCACCAACATGAAAAGTGCTGTAAAAAAAAATATATTATTATTATATCGTTGTTGTTGTTGTTGTTAAATAGGGGTTGCCATGCTGGTGTTGATGTGGTGCTTTACTAAGTCACATGCAGTCCTCCTCAAAGTGTTCATGCAGTCCTTCTCAAGCAGCCCCCACAGTCACTGGGTTTGTTTCTCATCAAGCACTTCACTGCTGCTCTGACACAAATCTTTCACCATCTCCCTTTTTGCCTGTTGCCTCTGGTCCCCCATAGATAAGCTGGATCTTTGTAGAGTGTTCCATAATTCAAACGAGGGTGAGCCAGAAAGCCAGAAATAGTGCTCATGTAGCTGATTACCAACCCCACAGGTCCCTTGATGACATACTTCAGGCATAAATTCATGGATTCCGCTCCACCACCAAAGCTGCTGCATCTGGCTAGCTTCATCTGGGAGAGCCAGACAAGCGTACCATTTCCTCTTCTTGCCAGTCACAGACTGGTCAATCTCTTTCAGGAGTTGCTCCATCTCTTCCAGCTGGCTCTGCCAATTGCACTTCTGACATCAGTGTGATGTTGCCAAAGAAGATGCTCTGTAGCAATGTGTTTGGTTACAGACCCACCTAGAAAGCAAAGGGGTGTGGTAAGTTCAGATACTTCCACATGAACAGAAGATAATTAAACACTCCTAGACTTGCTGGGTAGTTGGACAGGCACACATACATCAAGGTAGTGCACAATTATCACTAAACGCCTGTATTTATCACCCTATCATCAGGAGAGTTCAATCCCTAGTGACGCTAAAGCCATCCGTGGCTGGGAGTCCAAAGCACAACTGGCCTTGCTCTCTCTGGGTGTCCTGTCCTGTCGCCCCATCAGCACAATTCTAGTCAGCTCAGGTGTTTGTTAGCTGGCGTAATAGAATTGGTGGTTGGCGCTTTCCTCCGAGCACGTTTAGCTGTTCAATGACATTGTGTTAGTGGCAGTGCAAAAAGATGCGGTGGCTGGCTTCACAGTTCTCAGAGGAAGCCTGTGCTAGTCTTTGCCGTCCTAGTGCTGGTAGTATTGTGTGATTTGGTGGAGTCCTAACTAGTTGGTGGAATTGGATATGACTAAAATGGGGGAAA